TTTGGATGACCATGAGTGGCCGTTGACCGGGGATCGTAGAGTGGGTAGATGTGTTTCTTACTCCGTGCGGGTTTGAATTTTCCTACCACTCGTAGTGGTGTTGGTGCCTTGTGAGGACCAAACCACTATTTGCTCACGGGTGCCGAGGCAGATGATTAGTATACTATTACTGAGTTGGATTCGTCACTGCCATGAGTTGATATACACCCTTCCTAAAGGTTGGATATCCTTGCGAGGATTTGGGTGTGTGTGTGTGTGGGCCAGGATATTCTCGATGTGTTTATTCAGTCTTACATTAGACTTGAGATACAAATATATAGATTGTGGTTGATTATATATAGTGGGTTGTGTCCCTGTACAAATGTTGGAAACGGTTTAGTGTTGAAATGGCTCATTGTGGGAGTGGTTTAATATTGGAATGGTTTATTGTTGGGAAATTTATTTTACTGTTCATTTAATTATAGCCAATGTGTAAATTTGAGATCTATTGAAATGTTCCTCTTTTCTTTTAAAAATTGATATATGATATTTGCGAAATGAGACTGACTTGTTTTATATGTTTTATAAACCTTGTTCGAGTCTGGGAGGATGTTGTTACAGAGCTTAGTGCTCACCCCCTACAAACAATATATTTTTCAGATTGTGGTCTAGAGGAGGAGATCGGAGTTGAGGAGCTAATTCGTTAGGAAGCTCCAGTAGATGGGCACGTGGATCCCAAAGTGAACATTTAGAGCTACATTCTTTTATTTCTAGGCTAGGAAATTTATCTTGAGACAATGTGAAGTCTAGCATATTTTGTTATTCCGCAGCAAGATACCACTTCATTCTTTTGGGGATGTAATTGTTATAATTAGGTATATTCTTTTGGATGCAATTGCCAAGGCTTCGCCTATTCTTTTGAATGAAGTTGTAAATGTGTTAAATGATGAATGAAATTTTCTTTACTTATGAATCATATTAGTCGCTCTCATGATATGAATAATTTTAAATAGTAATGTTGTCCAATGGGGATTTTGGGGCGTTACAATTTTATACACATTCAAAATGGATTCCTTAATACAATAAGAGCGATGAAGATATTAATCAAGTTAGATGAACCGCTTAGTAATATTTTTCAAAGACTTTACTGGTTTTTTTTTTGTTTTTTCATGTTTTTTTAATTACATTTTTGTTACATTAAAAAGAACATTTCAAAGTAAAAATATAAACACACACTAGAATACTAAAAATACACACACACTAATGCACCAAATAATATACATACACCCACTAATACACCAAAAAATAATGCACACACTAATAAACCAAAATATACACACATTTACCAAAGCGCGCACGCGCACACACACACACATTAATACAATAAAATACACACAAACACACACTAATACAACAAAATACACACACACATATATACCAATATATCAAAACATAAACACAAATATTAATACACGAAACATACACACCTTATAATACACCAAAACACACACACACACACACGTGTTAATACATCGAAGAGCACACATGCATACACATATGGGTATTTTCCATTCCCAACTACCATCATTCGTTACCACCATCACCACCACTAACCCCACCCCTACTTCTCGGGGTCTGATGTCTAAGTATGGGTCGGGGTCAGATCTATGTCCATGGTCGAGGATGAATCCGGGATTGGGGTCAAGTTTGGGTGTAGGCGTCGTCGTGCTGGGGTCGAGGTCCCAGGTCTGGGGCCAGTTTTAGGTTCAGGTGCATGCCTAGGTCTAAGTTCGGGGTTGGGTTCTAGGATTGAGTCATGGGTTCGATGTCAAGTTTGAGTTCGACGACGTTTGGGTCCTTGTCCAGGTCTGAGTCATGGGTCCGAGTCCAAGTCCGGGTCTAGATCTGGGATTTGGGATCTAGGTTGGGTTTGTCCGGGTTGATGTCAGGTGGGGAGTTTGGGTTCGAGGTTAGGTTGAGTCCGATTTGTAGGATTATCCAAATATTGGAGTGAATATTTAATTCTATTCTAGTACTTAATTGGAATGATAATATACATTTCACTCTATTTTTATGTTCATTTCATTCCCATGTAAAAGTATTATCACGTACCAATCATAGTGTTAGTATATGTGTGTGAGAGTGCGTTTGTATTTTTTGGATTATTATTATTTTTTTTTTTTTGGGGGGGGGGGGGGGGGAGGAGAGTGTGTGTGTATTTTTTGTTTCAAATAATTTTTCAATGATGGATGTTTTGTAGAATAAGTAATTGTCTAACGATATATTATGAGTAAGGTAGTTAAACCAATTGAACTACTCAAGTTCAGTTTAATTTTGCCTTAGTGAAACTTATTCGTGTTATAAGATGAAGAAAGTATGGTTGATTTATAATGTCCACTGTCGAGTAGGCTCGTATTTGCTTTGCTGGTAATATAACTTATATACCATAGCAATGCAAGAGCCCCTAAAGGGATTTCATTTTTCTATTTTGAATTTCTTGTGTTCTTGAATTTTTACTAGCTACTATTAGTGACACTTTGAACTCCGTCAATTTTATATTATTACTATCTATTTCTGAGTAAAATAAAAGGCTTTGTTCTGATTCATTTTTAATTCCTCTTGTGTATCACAGTGGATACCAATAGTTAACATACATTGCATACGCAAAATTATCGATACATAACCATCATAGATAGATTAATGACTGAATGAGTCTGGCTTCTGGCTACTCGAGCTTTGTTTGGATAAGATTCGATTCGAATTTCACTCGTGAACTTGAATAATTTTTTAAATTTGTTTAAAAAACGAGTGTAAAAAGTTCGGCTCAAACTCACAAATCTCGGCTTATTTTTATATATAAAATAATCGAGTTACTCAGACACAGCTCGTTTAGAAAAACGAACTCAACAAGTAGGGGGTGCTATCAAGCTAAGGTTTGCGAGCTTGAACCCGAGCATATCTTGTTCGTAAACGAATTTAAAAAATTGTTCAAGTTTAGTTTATTTAAAACTTGAGCCGAACTCGAGCGGAGCCCGAATAACTCGACTATTTTACATATAAATGAAAGGAACTTTACGAACTTGAACCGAGCCTTTTTAGGCTTGTTTAAGCCTAAAAAATTGTTTAAACTCAACTCGTTTAGAACACAAGTTTGAGCTTGAGCTTGAGCCGAGTCTTACTCGAGCCGAATCTGAGTAGCTCGTCTCGATTAACACCTTATTGACAGGTCGCTTCAAGTTCGCAAAATTCGATTCAATTATCAGCCCTACCAACCACCAGGGGAACATGTTTCTAAACTCACTCAGACTACGGTAACCAATATCTAAGTTTGAAAGAATTGTCAAGTCTAGACACTCTGAAACAAAAAAAAAAAAAAAAAAAACTCGATACAAAAAATTATGAGAGTAGATTGTTGCTTTCGGTTTAGTTTCAGGTCTTGTTTCAATTATTGAAGCGACCGAACATGATTAATTCAATTTTTTGTTTGTCCATATTGTTTCTTTGGAGATCAAAAACTATCACCTTTTTTCAAATTTTCTTCTTTTTTGGTAATGCTTCTTTACAAATATTTTTAAGAAAACATAATTTTCTCAGAATAATAGAAATAATTTTAATTACTATTGTATACAAATCAGCTATATGTATCTTATTATCCAAATAATTTATTTATATGTATATATGTCTTATGATAGATTAAATTAATGCTCCGTTTAGTAGGAAGGATAAAAAATAGGAGGAATTCACTTTCTATCCTTCAAGGATGAAAAGTAGGAAGGATATATTTTTCTTCATTTGTGTTTGGTTGGATGGATGGAGAATAACAATAATTTTTTTTTTTTTGTGTTAGCTAAAATTAGGGATGACAATTGAGTCGTATCGTGTCGTATCAGATTCACTCAGATAAGAAAAAGAAAAAAAAAAACAGATATTAGTCATTAGATTCGTACTGAAACTATATGTTTATTATTAAAAAAAATCGATAGTGTACCAATTCTTATTTTTATGGGGTATATATACTAACTTTACGGTGAAGATTATTAACTTTTGAGCATACTTATTAATTTATTATTTGGTTTTACTTATTATTTTTGAATTTTTAATATAATTTCGATACTGTAATATTTTCCTTCCCAATAACATTGCTCGAGATCAAATATACTCAATGTAACTTATACCATTTGGAGTAATATTAGTTGGATTTAATTTATTAGTTTAATCACTCATAACTATTAAATTAATGGTGAAGCTCAAAATTTATTAAAATTTACAATTAGGGGTGTTAATTAAGGTGAGCTTTCCGAGCTTAAATCCGAGTTTGTTGAACTTATTTTTTTAAACGAGTCTCAAAAATTGTTCAAGTTCGTTTATTTAGAATTCGAGTCAAGTCCAAGTAATTCTATTATTTTATATATAAACGAGTCGAACTTTATGAGTTTGAGCCAAATTTTTAAGACTTATTTTTTTAAACAAATTTAAAAAATTATTCAAGTTCAACTTATTTAAAATACGAATCAAATTTTATCCGATTCAAACCAAAATCGAACGTGAGTAACTCGCGTCGGCTAACACCATATTTACAATCAACAAAATAATTGTGATAAATTCAATAAACAAATTAAGTTAAAATAAGATTATTGGAACTCTTTGTATCTTTTGGATGTTCAGCCCTGCCAATGTCATGCACGTCAAGATCGTGGCTAACTCTCACTAGTTTACACAAACCACAAGGCTGAAAACGATCCATCATCTTCATCGAACAAGCATGAATCTGCCACGTGTCATACAGAAGTTGTTGTCACGACGATTCCCATTTCGAGGAAAGAAAAAGCACTATTAAGGCGACGCTTGACGAAGACCTCAAATGGACGAATGGCAATACAAAGGTCATGCAAAAGTTGCCATTTCCGTACAAATTCCTTCTCTCTCTCTCTCGTGCTTTTCCTTCCTCTCTAAGCTTTCCTCACTCTCTTAATAAGTCCGCTCTCATTCTCGGCACCGGAGTTTCATCGTTTTATCTCTCTCTCTCTCTCTCTCTCTCTCAAGTCTCTCTGGTTCTGTGTTATTGTCTATTGGTGATCGGTGCACGTTGAGTAATGGCGACGCCAAAGGAACACGTAGAGGAGATACGGAGAACGAAATTCTCGATCGGTGGAGAACCGAATCCGTTGACTGAAGATCTCCATCAGGCTGTTAAGAATCTCTCTGCTGAACTCTACGCCAAAGATGTTCACTTTCTCATGGAACTCATCCAGGTTTTCTATATTCATACATTTTTTCATATTAATTATAATTTACCCTCTCTAACTATATATCTCTTGTTGCAATCACCTCCTCCTGTAATTTTTCCCCTTCAAGTTTCACGCGGACTACGACTGACAATAGTGTTTGGAACATGAAAGTAGAATGTATATCATTTCTCATATTTTTTCTTGAGATATCAATTCTATCCCCTAAAAAATAAGGATCTTGTCTATCATTTCCCATATTTTTTCTTGAGTTATCAATTATATTCCCTAAAAAATAAGGAAACAGAAAAGGAAAAAAATTACATCTACACCTGCTCGGCCCAACACCAATACACTGCACAACGCTATGTTCACCTTCACTTTTGTACATAGACACTCTTTTTCGAGGGTTATAAAGCTTAATTTGGTATAGGCTTTTTTAATGGACAAACTCAAATTTAAAGAAGAATAAACTCAAATATAAAGTAGAGCAAATTAAAATTTGAAGAAATGTGAGATATGGTTGGTGGATCTTTTAAAAGAGCAAAATTTGACTATTGAAAATTTAAATAAATATTTGAATTTGTCTTTATTTGAGTAAAAAGTTGAAATTCCCTTCATTTGGTATAGGTTAAGTAAAGACTTGTTTTTATTTTTATTTTTTATTTTTTACTTAAATTTAAATTTGAGTGAGGAAAGATTTGAGTAAAGGGCGGAGATGATCTAACATAAGCCACTTTTAATAATATAAAATTAACTGTTAGAGTTAATTACAAAATATTTAAATTTGAAAGGATTATTTGTTGAAATTAAAACCTGAAAGGTGAATGAAAAACTATCCAAAGTTAAAAGGATATTTTGTAGTTAACCCTGGCATATACGGTATATATCGCGCGCGCGTGTGTGTGAATTTATGAATTAGGAATAATTACATTTAGTTTCTAAAAGTTTATCATTTAATTATTCAGAGCCTCTAAAATTTAAAATATTACACACAAACTCTCTAAAATTTGTATGCATGTAATCCTTAAACTCTTGGCTTCGATGTCTATTAATATATTCGTTAATAAATTATATTTAGGCCTTCTTTGTAGGTATATAATACTTAGACCCCTAAAAATTTAAAATGTTATATTTAAACCAAAAAAACTCTAATCAAATATAAAATATAAAATATAAAATATTTATTTTTTACAACAAAAATTTATATTCTATTATGACATTTATTAAAATAAAATCAAAAATAAAAATCTAATTTTTTCTTAAAAAATCATAATTAGTATACAATTATATTAACATAACATATGACAATCTTCTTGAAGATGTTTCATAAAGTAAGCAACACACTGTTTAGAGATTCAAAACGAGTTAAGTTTTATGTCCCAATTATTTGGGATCGACTATATGAGTCTTTGCTATTCATTTTAATTATGCATTATACGCCCAACTAAATATTCTCATCATTCCCTACCAAATGGACCTTATTTAGTAACGGATAGTGATATATGTTTTGTAGAATATTTTGAACAATTTGTACATTACAGAATGCTGAGGATAACGAGTATTTGGAAGGGGTTGAACCATCGCTCGAGTTTGTGATTACTTCCCGGGACATAACGGCCACTGGAGCTTTGGCGACTTTGCTTGTATTCAACAACGAGAAAGGTTTTTCCCCAAAGAACATTGAGTCCATCTGCAGTGTTGGGCGCTCTACCAAGAAAGGCCTCCGCAAACGTGGTTATATTGGCGAGAAAGGCATGTCAATCACTATCCATTTTTGATTACTTGTGGACTCTATAATTTTATAATATGGTTTTAAACAAAACATGCATGGATGGTTGGTAATAGGAGTTAACGTGGTTGACTTAAATCAAAAACTTAAACGGAATTGTTACGACATCCCCAAGTAATAGTTATTTGTTTTTTGACCTAAGATTTGTGAGTATTTGATAATCCTCATTTTCTCTTCTTCATTTTCTTCCTTGCATCCCTAGTTCACTGGATTATGGGGTTGACCCGCCTAGTCAAGCTGAGTTTAGCAAACACTAGTCCTTTTGTTTTTGTTGTTACTAGGTTGCATTATGCTAGTACTTAGGTTTATATTGTTTAATTTTAGTCCATGTTCAAAGCTTTTTCTTTAATTATGAACTTCCAAAATTGAATTGATACAATTAACACAGGCACAAACTATTAGGCCTTAACAGTAACGACATTAATGGCCCCTAAATATGATAGTCTTTGTCAATTTGCTTTTGTGTGCGTGTCTCCTTGGTTGAATCAAGATAATATTTCCTACAAATATCTATTAAGTCCTACTATTTTTGTTTTATGTCAATGAAGTCCTACTTTTAATGTTTTATTTCACTGAAGTCTTAATTCCATTATATTCAAAATTTACTCTTAACTTTTAGTTACCAAACTCTTTCATTCTTTCCAATATGTTACAACTTCGTTAACACAATCTCGCTTTAGGGCTTTTCAATTTCTATTTATTCCTTTTGCTCAACAACGGTGATGTTTTTTTTTTTTTTTGAAAATTTTTTTGCCCTTTTGTTCTCACTTTTCGCTCGTTGAAAAATTGTTAGAGCTAAGAAATACACAATTGTTGTGTATCAACTGTTATTTAACTCAACTTTATCTTTTTTTAAGAAAGGATCAGATGTCATTCCATTTGGATACGAGTTAATTTACTTTTTTTTTTCTAGTAATAATTTTGAATTTGTATTGAAGCTATTGTTATAAACACATAGATGCTCAAGTTTTATTTAGATAATAATATTCACTTTAGAAGTACAAGGCACAAGAATTCTCACCGTGAAACTCTTCTCCATTAAGAATACATAGAGTCCACTAATTCAAAAAAAAAAAAAAAAAGAATACATAGAGTCCAAAGCCTTCTGATGTATCCCATAATGACAATTCTAAAAATTATTAATAATTGAATTTTTCATAAAACTAGCAAGTATGCAATACATAATTTAAAACACAAAAGGTCAATGTATGTATGAATAGAAAAAGGCTAATATTATAGCCCCAATATCTTAGGTCTTAATATTTATTAAGAGAAGGATAAAATTGGAACTAAATATAGTATTTATGAAAATTAGGACTTCATTTAAATAAATTACAAATAGGACTTCATTGATATAAAATAAAAAATGATAGGACTTAATGGATATTTGAGAGAAAAAAAATACTTAATACTTATTAGTAATTATTTCTTTGAAAAATCATTCTTCTAGAACTGGGCGTAAGTTAGTTTATCGTATATGTGGCCCAATGTTTAATTATAATGTGGGTATGCATCTTTCATGAAAGATCATGGCCATTCAAGATTGGTTTATAAGGTTGAAGGGCTTCTTTATCCATTGCCATTTGGTTTTGAGTTTGATTCTTTAACATGGTATTAGAACTAACTTGGAGAATGTATGGGCAAAACTCAATCTCTTTTATTTAGTAACTTGGTCTGTTGTTAACTTTCTCTACTTATTACCAATTGGTTTGAATTAACATGACATCAGAGTTTGTGGACAATGGATGAGATCTCTCACTAAATCCCAGTCTTCTTGTCTATTTGTTTGGATTCAATTTGTTAGTGCGCACTTTTTAGTTTAGGCTGCACGTTATGGAGGGTATGAAGGGTGCTTGTATGATGTAGGCAAGTTTCTTATATTTTATCATTTTTGGCAATATTTTAATTTAATCGAGAATACATTCCTATTTGACGTAAATGTCAGGCTTTTAAAATTTTCTAAATCCTTTTTATTACAAATAGGTTGTAAGACACAAGTCACAAGGTTCTATCAGTATCATTTAGACTTCTTTTAACAATATTCTAAGAGAATTTTCTCATATTTTTGCTTGTGGATTCAAGGGTTTATAGAATATGGTCTTGTAGATTCAAGGTTGTGTGATTGTTCTTCATAGAGAAATGTTGGTTTTGTTTTGTTATCATTATAACTATGTCAATTACTTGACATCAAAATCTTGATTAACCTAATGTAATGTCTAATCATCGATGTAGTGACAACTTTCCCTGTGTCGATGATTAGATGGAAGAGGACCTTGGGAGAATTGAGTTCTTAAGTGTCGATGTGGAGCCAACAAGCCTTTCATGATTGCTACAATCCAATTGTTCGGTCATCGTTTTGGGAAAGAACAAGGATGCAAATTAGAATGGGGTTTGTAACAACGATAGAGCTCGTGTTTGACTTATTTAAGATCACAATTATATCACTCTTATTGAGATATTTTAGATTTAGGTTATGGGATTGCTAATAAGTGTGGCCCACCAGTAAGGTTGTTCTATTGTGATCTGGGTGTCAAGAGTTTCGAGAGTTTCAGGACATGGAAACAGTCTCACTGTATGTGCGGATAAGTTTGAATACATTTGAGGCTTTCCCGATTCCATAATTTTTGTGGGAGTCATGCACTAGACAATTTTTTTTATTCTCGGGTAATGATTAGTATTCTACCAATGTGTTTGGTGGTTATGGTGATGCTATAGAACGTAGAGGGCGTGAAAGTGAGCCTAAGGATTTTCAGATGAAAGTTGATCTACCCAATTTTTATAGTCATTTTCCTATGGAAAAATTCATTGATTAGTCAAAGTTGGTAGGTGTTTCAGTTACATCAAAATTTTAGAGGAGAATAAGATGAAATCAGTGGCATTCTACATGGTGGGGGCAAATGCAAGTTTCATGTTCAAGGCAACGAAGCTCCTAGTTCGTTCTTTGCTTAAAGATGGAAAGATGTTGAAAGAGATATTTTTGCCTCTAAACTAAATAATTAGCATATTAAATACTAGCGTCCCACAATGCACGGGATTATAAGTTGTCTTTTTAAAAAATTTTCTTTTTATTTTATCACTTTAAAAGTTAAATAAATAATAATATAAAGTTTAGGGTTGATAACAAAAAAAAATTTTTAATAAAATTTTTAAAATAGTGGTTAGTTTTTGAGGAGTTGAGGAATAGTTGCAAATGACACATGGTACAACCTGATTGGAAGGAGTCTTAGGTTTTGAATAAAAATTTCAAAATTCTAAGAAATTATGAAGTGAGGAGGAAAGGCTTCCCAAGCCCTTCACCTCCAAATTGTTTATTATACATATGTATAGATAGATTAGCCAAGTACTCCCACATTCAAAATAATTTAAATTGTATATACCCAAATAATTTAAAAAGTTTTAGTGAAAATTGGGGGCCTCTTGAAAATTATCAAGAAGTGAGTGTTGAAGAAATGGTGAAGACAAAACTAATCGCAATGTCACAAGCTAGGAAACATGGATATGGATACGAGATATAGGTATAATACGATAAGGATACAAATACGGCAATACTACAAAACCCCAAAAAATAGGATATATGTACGACCAGAATACATCTATAAAAATTTATATTTTATATTTGTACTATTATGTAATGACTTTATAGATATAATTTTTAGTGATTCTTTAATAATAATAAACAACATTAACAAGTTTTTATTTTCAAAAAGCCAACTACTGCATCACTATAGTATATCTACAAAGTGAACACAATTAATTAAAAGAATAAGAACCAACATTTAACTAGATTGTTTGCTTAGAAGTATTTGTTGCTAAGATTATAGTATAATCAATTCATTTATACACTTTGAACATGTGATAGTAAATAATATTTGGAAAACATGCATGTGTCTTTAAAGTCATATGAATTGATGTTGATGTAATGCATTGCATGTGAAATCGAAAGGAAGCGGTTAAGATTAAACTTAAAAGTTACACATATTTCTATGCATATAGAAGTATCCATAAAGTATCCATATATTTTATTTATTTTTAGATACGTTTGGTATGTATCAGATACGTATCATCGATTATCCGACGAGGATCGTATTCGATACGGATACGTCAATCATAACAAAAGATCTATGTTTCATAGGTCACAAATGATGATGCATGAACTGAAGTTATTGTACTTGAACTTGACATAATAGAGCTCAAAATTGATAGTGATGACAAAGACAAAAAGTTACGAGGAGGTGTCAAGTACACTCATAGAAGAAAAGATTATAGATAGAAAAGATGAGGAACGAAAATGCTTCTAGGTTGTTGATGACTTTTGATGATTTTGAGTTGTATCAATAATATTTGAAGCTTTTGATCTACGGCAACAACAAAGGAACATTAATAACTATGCCAAGAAAAATTTAGGCTACTATATGTTAGTGGGTAACCCAAAATTCACAATAACATTTACTAGAAGAAATTAATTTAATTATATTTTACCCCGTTGCTACAAGCAATCGAAATTCGAGGATGAGTTTTCTCAATTGGAGGGGGACAAATGCAAGGCATATTTATTATGTTTTTAGCATTAAAATTTAAGTATGAATATTTTTTTCACACGTGAATGGTGGTTGCAGAGTGTTAAAACTTGTTCGATGAAAAATCTCCCAGATTTATGTATGAGTCTTGTGGTGTTCTCTATTTATTGTCATTAGATATATAAAGTTGGATGCCTCTAACATAGTGATATAACTAACTTGGCCTTAAGTGTTAGCTAACCAAGTCTCTCATCAATCAAAACTCTCTGGTCTTGTTTGTTTGTCTGTCACAGATCAGTTTATTAACCCACATACGAGCCTCTGTTGCATGTGGGGAGGATGGATGTTAAGAACTTTGGTCCCATGTCGAAAGATTAGGGCTGCCTAACAGTTGGTTTATATGGTTGATGAGTCCTTTCACTAATTGCTAGGAACCACAGATACTTCATCAAGGTCGACATATCAGTTTCAGATATGATACTCGTCGGATATTTGAGGTTATGTATTGGATACACATCAAACGTATCCAATAATAAATAAAATATATAAATACTTCACGGATATTTCTATATGCAAAGAAGTATATACAATTTTTAGTTTTAATCTTTACACATTGCTTTTGATTTCACATATAATGCAATACATCAACAAAAATTCATGTGACTTGAAAGGCACATGGGTGTACTCCAAATATTATCCATTATCACATGTTCAAAGAGTTTAAATGAGTTGATTATTTTATAATCTTGACAACAAATACTTCTAAACAAACAATATAGTTAAATGTTAATTTTTATTCTTTTAATTTCTCACATTCACTTTGTAGATGTATCAATGAGACAATAGGTAACTTTTTGAAAATAAAAAATTGTTAATGTTGTTTATTATTGTTAAAGCATCATTAAAAATTATAACTATTAAGTCATTATTTATAAATATTTCAGCCGTACCCATATCCTATATTTTGAGATTTTTTTACATCGCTATATCCGTATCGTATCATATCCGTACTTCCTAAACTAATTGTGTCACTTACAGCTTGCTCTTATTTCCATCAATATGCTTGGAAACAAAAACTTTCTTTCTCTCATGCACTTTACCTTTAAACTTTGTCTTGCAATTTTTTACTGGGGAAGTACCAGTCACCAGATTCCCACATTTTTAACCAAGAGTTAGTTTTGTTTTGGTGTATTATTTTAATCACCTAAGAAATGGAGAAAAATCTCGAAACATTCAGAAATAAAATGTAAATATGCCAAAAAATCTTGAAACATTATGAATCTCAAAGTATTGGAATTTCGATTTCATCATTGATTCGTTTTTTGTCTAACTAAAAAGGGAAGATTGAATGGAAACAAATAAAAAATTGAGAATATATTTTCAAAACATTGATTGAAATATACTAAAGTATTATAACAGTTCAAAACATTCTGAATCAATGGTGTAAATATGGTGTAAATATGCCAAAAAATCTTGCAACATTATGAAAAACCTCAAAAGTATTGAAATTACGTTTCCGTCACTGGTTCATTTGTCTACTTGAAAATGGAAATGTTTTGGCTGTTATAACTGTCTTGTAACAAAATTTTGATTATTGTCTAACCAAACCTCTTGTTCCACCCAAAAAAATAAAAGGGAAAAAAATCCTTCGCTATAGATTTTATTGAATTAAGTTAAACTAGAGTATTGGAAAAACTCAAGATAAAATTGTTCAACTGATATAGCAGGTTTAGCATTCTCGACAAAAAAAACAAAACTAAAAAATTCAAAGCAATTCATGTCTCAATCACTGAATTTGGATTTGAGAATCTTACTCATCATGATTTTCAAATACTTCTGTTGTGTCCTCTTTGATGATGATTTTAATACCTATCTTCTCTCTCTCTCTCTCTCTAATGTGCTGTTGTAGTTAATATCATTTGATTTTTTGCAGAGTTGTTTGTTAGCTTTTCTATGTGGTGGACTATTTTGGATGCCTTCAACCTGCCATTTTCTTTTAGAAGAATTTGGTCAGGAATGTTTTGTTTTATGCATTATACCGCCTCTGATACAGCTTCTGTTAATTTACAGGAATTGGGTTCAAGAGTGTATTTTTGATTACGGCTCACCCTTACATATTCAGTAACGGTTATCGGATAAGATTTAGTGAAGAACCCTGCTTGCATTGCAATGTTGGATACATCGTCCCTGAATGGGTTGAGGAGAATCCAACTATTTCCCTTATCCAACAGATATATGGATCTGGTGCTGCCCTCCCAACCACAACATTAGTGCTGCCGCTGAAGCCTGACAAGGTGAAACCTGTGGAGATGCAGCTTTCAAGCCTTCATCCTGAAGTTCTGTTGTTTCTTTCAAAGATAAAGAAGCTTTCGGTTCGTGAAAACAATGAGGATCCTAGACTTAACACTGTGAGTGCAATATCTATTTCAAGTGAGACAAACTTTGTTACAAGGAAGAATATTGATGCCGAGTCCTACATGCTTCATCTTTCCGCTGATGTGAATGATGATGATGCGGAAAAAGAATGCAGCTACCATATGTGGAGGCAGAGGTTTCCTGTTAGGCTGGAAAACAGAGTAGAAAGAAGAATGGAAGTAGAAGAGTGGGTGATAACTTTGGCTTTTCCAAATGGAAAGCGACTTCAAAGAGGAAACCAATCTCCAGGGATCTATGCATTTCTACCAACGGAGATGGTGACGAACTTTCCCTTCATAATTCAGGCAGATTTTCTTCTAGCTTCGTCCAGGGAGACAATCCTCTTGGACAACAAATGGAACCAAGGGATTCTTGACTGTGTGCCCTTGGCTTTTGTTAATGCATTGACTTCGCTTGTGAAAAATACAGAAGGTGCTCCAGTTTCTAGTCTGCCTCGCATGTTTGGGTTTTTACCACTCAACAGTTCTCCCTATGCACAGCTAAATGCAGTGAGGGAGTCAATTAAGACAAAAGTGGTGGCTGAAAGTATAGTTCCACGTGAGTCTTACCAGGAGCAGAAGATCTTCGATAAACCCTGTGATGTTGGTAGGTTAATGCCTGCCTTCTGGAATATATTGAAAAAGGCGAGGAACCAAGGGGTGTACTTGGATAATATCTCATCCCATGGAAGGTTTATCTTAAGCTCTTACTTTGATAGAGAAAAGTACAATGACGTATTGAAATTTTTGGAGGTGAGACATGTTGATGATGAATGGTATGCAACATGTATCCAGAGTTGTAATCTTGTTCTCGGAGTATCAGATGATGTTTATTTAGAACTGTTAGCATTTCTTGCTGACAAATGGAATTCTTGTTTTCACAAAACAAGCATTAAGAACATACCGCTTCTGAAGTATGTGGGTCATGACAGAGATGTGTCGTTGGTACCCTTGCTGAATGGTGGTAGGGTGCTAGTATCCTCTTATTGTAGTAACATCTCGTGGCTGATCGATTGGAACAAGGAATTCAGATGTGCAGCAGATCGATTTTTTCTGCCGAAATCGACACAAGAAGCTATGGGGTTATGTTCTAAGAGACAGAGCATATTGGAATGGCTTTGCAACCAGATGAAGGTTAGTTCTGTAAATGTGTATGATTATGCAATTCTCCTCGGTAAGTCACTAGTTGATCGGAAGCTTGTTGTTGCCTATGCTCATTTCTTATATCACTCGCTCTCACAAAATTATCTGTCTAGGCAACAAGTTGAATATTTGTGTAGTATTATGCCACTCGTTGATAACTATGGGCGGGTGACCACCGGAAGGGCAGGGGTTCTTGTACCTGCTAATGGAAGCAGATGGGTGGAGCTGATTGGTTCAAATCCATGGAGAGCAGAAGGTTATGTTGAGCTTGCAGAAGACTATTTGCGTTCTGGCAACTATGTAGATTTACTAACACTTGAAAGAGAGCTTGTTAAATTCCTCAAGTCGCATGTTGCAGCTTCTGACATCCCATAGCTCTCCCCTCCCAATGCTGTAGTTCGTACATTCTCTGCTCCACTGACAAAGCAGAATGCATTATTGCTGTTGGAATGGATTCAGTATTTGAGAAGGTATGGGATACCCATTCCGACAAATTTTCTGACCTGCATAAAAGAGGGAAGCTGGCTGAAGGTTTCTCTGAATGGCAGTCCTGCCTACAAGCCTCCGTCACAGTCATTCGTACCTGACTCATCATGGGGTGACCTTCTGCAGAATGGATTGGTGCTAGTTGATATTCCCTTAATTGATCTAGATTTCTATGGTGGTAAATTAAATGGCTATAAGGAGGAGTTAAGAACCATTGGCTTGATGTTTGAATATAAAGAAGCATGTCAATATATAGGGAAGCATCTCATGTCTCTGGCAGCTTCCTCAACTTTAACCAGAGGCAATGTGCTTTCAATACTGAATTTCATCAAGTTTCTAAGGGATTCATATCTTCCTCTTGAAGACTTTGTCAAGGCTGTTAAAGAAGGCAGGTGGCTAAGGACTTCCCGAGGTGACAGGACTCCAGGTGGTACAGTTTTATTTGATCAGGAGTGGAAAGCTGCATCACAAATCAGTGATATTCCATTCATTGATCAAGACTATTATGGCGAGGAAATTCTCTCTTTCAGAACGGAACTACAGCTAGTTGGGGTGGTAGTTGGATTTAATCAAAGCCACGAACTTGTGGTCGACAACTTAAAATCTCCAGCACGCATAACTTCTCTGACAGCTGAGGGAGTTCTTTTAATATTGGAGTGTATACGTCATTTTGGATCGGCTGACAAATTTGTTCAAGCACTTAAAGATAAGAAATGCATCAAGACACAGATGGGCTTCAAATCTCCAGCTGAATGCTTTCTGTTTGATCCTGAATGGGCTTGCCTTCTGCAGATTTTTAACAGCTTCCCACTCATCGATAAAAATTTCTATGGAAGCAGCATTTTATCGTACAAAAATGAGTTGAAGCAACTTGGTCTGGTGGTGAATTTTGAGGAAGCAGCCAAAGCATTTGCTCGCGTTTTTAAGAAGCAAGCTTCACTATTTTCCATCGGAAAAGGTCATGTTCTTTCACTTCTGGAATGCTACAGAAGGCTAATGAGAGCAGAAACAAGATTTCCCTCAGATCTTCAGAACTGCTTTCTTGAGGTGAAATGGTTACGAACTCGCCTAGGTGATTACAGAGCACCGAAAGAGTGCATTCTGTTCGGCCCCGATTGGGAGTCTATTTCTCCTATTTCTCTACTTCCTTTCATTGATGATAGTGATAATTACTATGGAAAGGGCATCCGTGAATATGAAAAGGAGCTTGAGAGTATGGGAGTTGTTGCTGCTTTTAAAAGTGGTGCGAAGTTTGTGGAGGCCGGCCTTTATTTACCTCAAAATCCCAGAACCATAACTCCCTCGAATGTATATTCATTGCTGGAATGCATCAGGAATTTACAGCAGGAACACAATGGGTCTATATCTGAAGCATTTTTGAAAAAACTTGGAAAAAAATGGTTGAAAACTCATGCAGGCTACAGGCCTCCAGTTGAGTGCTTGTTGTTTGATTCTGGTTGGGGTTCTTTCTTATGGCGCCAGGATGGGCCTTTCATTGATGAGAAATTTTATGGTTCCAAAATTACAGCCTACAGGAAAGAGCTCAACGCTATTGGAGTCACAATTGACTATAAACATGGTTGCCCATTGCTTGCCAATTACCTTGATCACCATTCCAACTTCGCTACTATCAATCGAATTTATAGTTATTTGTGTAAATTCAATTGGAAGCCGCATGATGAGGATACCAAAAGAATTTGGATCCCAAATGGAAGTGAAAATGGAGAATGGGTAGGCGCTGGAGAATGTGTTCTTCATGACAAAAATGACCTCTTCAGTTTGCAGTTGAATGTACTGGAGAAGCACTATAAACAGGAATTACTGAACTTCTTCTCTGGAGTTTTGGGAGTTAAATCCAGTCCTGTTCTTGATGATTATTGCAAGCTTTGGAAGGTATGGGAAGATTGTGGAGACGGATTGTCGCATGCTGAATGTTGTGCCTTTTGGGGATTTGTTGTAAAGCACTGGAATTCTAGGACAGAGGAAAAACTTACACAAAACATGTCAAAAGTGCCTGTGTCAGGTTCAGATGGAATTCTTCTGGTTGAGAAGCATGATGTTTTTATTGCTGATGATCTTTATCTGCAGGATCTTTTTGAACAGGCTTCTGCTCATCCACTATTTGTCTGGTATCCTCAGCCAAGCTTGCAATCCTTGCCTCGAACAAGGCTTCTTGAAATCTATGGCAAAATTGGCGTCCAAACTTTATCTGGATCTGTAGAAAAGGAACTATCGGATCTGGAAGATGTTGGACTTGAAGAAGTGGATTGGATGGATGCCTTTTATGGAGGGGGCATATGTAGGCTCATTCTTGGCTTTCTTGCTGATCCTGCTCTCAACATGGAAGCAGAGAGGAGGCACGACGTTGTCAGACGCCTCCTCAATGTTGATGTGTTTGAGACAATTGAGCCAATTACAGTAGGATATAGTTTATCACTTTCGTCAGGAGAAATTTTGAATGTGAAAGCAAGTCGAATGATACGTTGGGAGAGAGAGAGTTCAAAGTTTTTTACACAGAAGAGGGACATGTCAGGTGGATATAAAGAGCGAATTGAATATGCTTCATATTTTTCCGAAGTAGTGGCTGAGGGAGTGCTGTGGGAGGATGAAGATCATATATACCAACTGACTGAACTGATTAAGTTGGGTTGTCTCCTTGAGTTTGATGACGAAGCTATTGCGTTCTTGATGAAAAAGAACAATCTGCAGATATTTTTGGAGGATGAGGAGTTTCTCTCTTCTGCCTTCACTTCTGATTAGGTATGGTATGAACTCTTATTATATTGAAGTTTTTATCTAATAGGATTTCTGAACGAAAGATTAAGTTTCTTTTGTTCAACTAACTAAAGGAAAAGGAAGAACTCAGATCATGCATAGGTGATCATCCTTGTCATTGGATTGAGAAAACGTCTTTCAATGCCTTGATCCACCCCATAATCCCTTTTCTCTTTGGCTATTTTATTTGAATACTGTAATAATGGTGTGCTACTAGAGTGAATTTGTAAGAATGAATACATTTCAATGGAGCTGCTTGTCGTAGTTTAATCGATTGTGAACGTCATTTTCCGATGGCTCTTGCTCTTGTTTCATCCTTTTTATGCCTTCTCTTGGTTGCAATATCTAGCATACTGTTTTCATCTCTTCTATCAAAATTATTTTTGTTCATAATTAGTTATTAAGTGACAAGTTTATGATAAAAAATCGATAGTAATCTGGACATTGTGTGTTTGAAGAACTATATAGAAATATATCCAATACTTTAAGGACTAAAATGATGCAATTGAAATATTGAGTACAAAATGAGACAAATCACATACTTTGAGGATTTCTAATGCTATTGACCCATAAATATTTAAACGTCAAAGAAATAACTATGCAAGTCTAGGATTACTTGTTAGGATCTTGTGTGGACATAAAATACATAAATCTTATGAATATTCAATGTATCGACATCTGAGAATCTAGATGTATTAAGAATATGTCACATGAAAGTAACTGAAGAAAGGTGGGGATAATCAGTCATAGTCGTGTTTGAAAAAGAAATAACTACAAGTTACTATTTAGTAAATGTCGATGTAAGTAAAATCATAAAAAATAATGACTATAAAAAGGTATATAGTGGAGAAGATGAAGAATATAAAAAGGCACTAAGAAGATGTCACGTGAAATAAAAATTAAAGAAAGACAGAAGATGATTAGTCACAGTCATGTTTGAAAAAGAAATAATTAACTACAAGTTACTATTTAGTAACCGTCGATGAAAGTAAAATCGTAAAAAACAATGGCTATAAAAGGACAGTCAAACCTTCACAAGTCCCAAGATTTAGACATTTTTAGGAATAGTGTTAGATTAGTTTTAAGAGAGAGTTATTGTTGCAATTAAGACTATTTATCTAGTTGTTGCAATTAATAAAAGAATCTTTTTTATTAGTTCCTTATACCACGTGTTTGTCCATTAAAATTTAAGGAAATCCTGAAACTAATCATTTGAACCCATCACAAACAATTGCCAGAGAACTGTCTATTGATTGAGTTTCTTCCATCGATAACAACAGATTTTGGAACAACAGATCCTCAACAAATTCAAGAGGATTTTGATCACCCAACTCCACTCAAAAACAACATTGAAGCTGCATATCTTAGTTGGGGCCAAAAGAAAGAGAATTTAGACTATAAGATCTATTTGCTTTGTTCCACTTTTTGAAAATCCATTTAAGGTTCAAGAGTAATTCAATCGGAAGACCAACATAGCATGAAACCTTTGCTAACATAATTTCCATGGTAACCATACAAAGACATTCAAGATTTGCAATGAGCATGAAAGCTGGGAATAAAAAAGAAGATCAAATATATGTTTGTGCCCGTTAATCTGAGAACTTAAATTTTGATCATATTTCTTTTTTAAAAAAATTCTGAACAAACTTATATAAGCCAAGCTCAAGCTAAATGTAAATAGTTCGGTTTGTTTAAGAGCCCTTCGCTTCACTCAACTCTAGCAAGAAGTCAACAACTCACATTGACGGAAGACAATCTTTTTTATGGAGAAAGAATAATGGTATTGGGACTAAACAATTTAACTTAACGTCTCGAAATGTCCATCAAGGGATTTAAGACAAGGTGATCCCCTCTCTCCTTTTTTATTTATCTAGGTCACAAAATGTCCTACTAAGCTTATTGATGTAGCTATGGATAATGACAGGCTCATAGGAGTTCAGTTAAGTAGAAATGGACCTACGCTGACCCATCTTCTTTTTGCAGACGATTCTATTTTTTTCTCAGCAGCTTCTATGCGAGTGTCAGGTGCTTATGGATGTTTTGGGTAGGTATTGTTATGCAACAGGGCAGCTTATTAATCTGAACAAGTCTTGTGTCCTCTTTAGCAGAAACACTCCTCAAGCAGTGCAACATCATCTTGCAACTGGTATGCGAGTTCCTCTTCTCCAGCAGACATGGAAATATTTAGGACTTCCAACAGAATGGAGGGGCTCCAAAAGGCAAACTTTGGCTTGGTTAAAGGGAACGATTCTTGGGAAGATTGCAGGGTGGAAAGAAAAGTTTCTTAATCACGCAAGAAGGGAGACTTTAATCAAGGCTGTGGTCCAAGCTATCCCATCGTACACAATGACCATTTTTAAGCTACCTAAGTCTCTGTGTCAAGAGCTTACAGCCTGTATTTCTAGATTTTGGTGGACTAAGAATTCAGGTGAGAAGGGTATCTTTTGGAAAAGTTGGGAGTATATAACACAAAGGAAGCATGAAGGGGGCATGGGTTTTAGAGATTTGGAGAAATTTAATAAAGCACTTCTGGCTAAACAAGCGTGGCAACTTGCTCAAGATCCAGATTCTCTTTGGGGAAGAGTGTTAAAAGCTAAATATTTTCCACGTTGTTCATTATGGCAAGCAAAATCCAAGTCAAATTGTTTGGATTTGGAGGAGTCTCCTTGAAGGCAGGGATGTTTTGGCACAAGGTATTTTTAGGCAAGTAGTGGATGGAAAGCATATAAATATTTGGGAGGATCCGTGGGTTCTAGGATATCAAAAAATTGTAAATAGTAACGGTGCAAATTTTTTAAGGGTCCAAGAGTTAATCCTTGTCCCTACGAAAAGGTGGAAATAAGAGGTTATTCAGGAGACGTTTCCACCACATTTAATACCAGTGATTTTTTCCATTCCACTGTGTGAAACAGAGCAAGAAGATAGGATAAGATGGACCATACTAGGGATGGGATGTATTCTGTAAAGAGTGCGTACCATTTTCAAGTTCAGAAGCAGAGAAGAAGCAATCCTAAATCAAAGGCATCTTCGTCTTTCATCCCTCCAAGAGGCTTATGGAAGATGATATGGGGTGTTATTGCTAAGCAGAAAAATCAAATCTTTTGTATGGAAAGTGGCAGTGGGGGTTTTGGCTATGAAGGAAAGTCTATGGACAAGAAGAGTTTTTCACAGTGCAGTTTGTCCTATCTGTGGGGGAAGAGAAGGAAACCATTGAACATTTGTTTTTGTTGTGTCAGTGGGTGGAAGGAGTATGGTTAGTCTCATTTAAACCTAAAGGTGGATAGAAGCAAAGTCTTGAGAATGGAGACTTGGTTAATGGAGTTGGTTGAGATGAATGAAAATTGGGGAATGGAGGATCCAAATCGATAGACACTCCTTGCCTTCTTGCTATGATTTATTTGGAAAGCAACGAATGAGTGGGTGTTTGAATTTAAATTCCTCTGGTGTTGTGGAGATAGCAATAATTGCTGCAACTGAAGTTTTTCAGAGCAAGAGTTTGCGGAAGCCATTTGAGCATGGACAGCGTGCTCAGCTAGTATGAAACCTGCCTCCACCAGGTTGGCTTGGAGTTGTGGTACGTGACCAGATGGGGACTCAAATCTCTGAAGCCTCTGGAACAATGCATGCCTCCTCAGCTTTATCTACAGAAGCATGGGTTGTTTGATGTGCATGCGCCATGGCAGTTGCAAAGAATTTTTCAGAAGTTATTGTTGAATCTAACTCTAAGGTGCTGATTGAAGCTATCCAACGAGGGCCAACTTCGTTGTTAAGAGAGGTTGAGCCTATTCAAAGGAATATTTGGTTTTACTCCAGTAAAAATTTCTTTAATCAAGTTTCAATTTGTTAACTAACAAGCTAATTAGTTAGCTCATCTAGTTGCAACTCAGGCTAGAAAGAGCAACTTATCCCCTCACTGGGTGGTTAACCCTCCGGAGCAGCTAAGGAGACTCGTACAAAAGGAAGCAAGAGAGGGTATTGGTTGAAAATTTGTTTTGTCCTTTTTTTTGGTTGTTTGTTGTTTTTTTTTTTTTTTTGTGTAGTTTGATGTATCTTTGTTTCTTGAGAGACCAAAAAAAAAGGTTGTAATTATTATTCATAGTTTTGTACTAATACTTACTCCTAGGGTCAAATCAGTACCATTCCTCCTATCTTATATGGACGAGGGCAACCCACATGTAAAATATTTTATATTTTATTTATTATTTTTAAGTTAAAAATAAAAAATAAATCACACGAGTTACGATTAAAATCTATTTTTTATTATATCCATTTTTTTGTTGTGGGTATCGTACTCTTACCCTAGTCACAGAGAGGTGCGCTTGTGGTCAAACTAGGGGCACTATGGTTAGGGGTGTTAGTTGAATCGATCCTTCCAAGATTGAATCTCTCCGTATAGTTTCTGACTCCAAACTAGCAAAAAGATAGCTCAAGCAAGGATCGGGCTCGCCTATCGAGCTGAAAAAATATTGTTCAAGCTCAACTCAAATTGAATTCGAGCAAAAAACAAGCCATTCAACAAAACTTCTCTTTACATTCTGACCAAACAAAAAAACTAAAAATTCAAATCCACAAATTTCAAATACTCAATCAAAAAAATTTACAAAAATACACAAAAATCTAAATTTTAACACAAATACGAGCATTAAATACATCCAAATCACAACAAAAACAAACTTAATTTCTTGCTAATTTGACTGAAATAACATTAAGGTATGTATTAATTTATATGTATATTATATACAAATAAAAAAAAACGAGACGGCTCGGCTCAATACTAAATGAGTCTAAAAATTTATTCAGATTCAACTCATTTTATAATATGATTGAACCAAACCAAACCAAACTAAAATCGAGTCAAGCCCAAGCCCGAGCCTCAGCCTCAGTCTCAGCCTCAGCCTCAGCCTCAGCCTCAGCCTCAGCCTCGAGATGCCAAAATCATTTAACAGCCCTAACTATAGTCCTATATTGGGGCAGTGGGCTATCTGGGGAAGTTCATATTGTAGTGGGCCTTGTGACGATTAGCCATTGCTATTTTGTTCTTCCTCGTCCACGGCTTTGCTAGGGTTTTAGCTCAGGGTTGAAGACTACAAAGCTCTCAGTGATCCAAAATCAGTAGTAGTAGTCCTACTCAATCATCTGACATGGATCCTTCTGCTCTAAACTCAGCGAAATTAGAGCAATTTATCAATGCAAGTTTTCTCTATTTTTTGTATAAATTATATTCACTCACTCTCTCTCTGAGTACAGATTTTACTGTGTTGGAATTTGTCTTCATGTATAGATGAGCGATATGTTTGTCCCATTTCAAGTAGTCTGAGAAGGAAAATACCCTTCACAGTT